TTCTTTCATATCTGGGTTGATCTTCAAATATGGGTTCAAATCTGGGTTGATTTTCTTTAGATCTGGGCTGATCTTCTTCAAATTTGGGTTGAATACCAGATCTATCTTTTTCTTTCTTATTGGTTTTAGATTTGACTCTTTATTACTTAATTTTTTTTTTCCTATCAAATGTGTTGATTGTGAGTGGTGGCTTTTTTTATTACTAGTAGTAGATTTTGGGGTTCAAATTTGTGTTGATCTTTTTTTGTTCTATTTTTTTATTTATTTATTTTTGTCCATTTTCAATTTATTGGTGTTTGGCTTATTGATTTTATATATAAATTAATTTATGACATTTTTTTTTTGAAAATTTTTTTATTGGTGTTTGATTTATTTATTTTATATATAAATTGATATTGAATATTATAAAGTGATATTGAAAATTTAAATATAAATTAGTTTATTTTAAAGTTTAATTTATTGAACTCTCTCATATTTTTTAATTAAATTTTGAATTATTATCCAAATATATATCTAGACTGTCCAAATATGTTTTAATGTTTTTTGTTCTCTAAAATTATTTTTAGAATCATCTAACCAAACAAGTTATTTATCTTAGAAAATATTAAAACATAATTTCTTAAAATTCTTCTCAAAAATTATTTTCGAATATTATTTTTTGAAACGCAAACCAAACAGACTCTAAATTCTTCGAAATTCTAAAAATGTTTTTATTATGTGTAGTTTGTGGGTGATTGCACACATTCGAAGCTTATATAATAATTAAGATAATCTGTGTCCGAGGACATGATGTAATGTGAATGATTTTAAGAGGGATGTTGGTGGTTATTAGATGAATATATTTGAGACCGTCGGATAAACTTACGAGAGTTTACCCTGTTTTATATTATAAATTAATTATCATAAGTCCAACATATGTGTGCTTGAGAGAAATCTTTGTGATGAAAAAAAGTGGAAAAGCTATATTTTGGGAAGCGGTCATTTTGCTTGCACAATGTAACTACCTGTACAGTTCATAAGCTTGCTACTGTTGGTTGTCACTGCAGGCTCATCCAAACTTAGATGAGATTGAGCGTGAGAAAGTATGCAGTGTGATGGATCCACTCAAACTTTCCTATGAAGCCAGGGTCCATGCTTCACAGAACAAGCGTTTACCTGTTCAAATTGTGCTTCATGCCCTATACTACGATCAACTGAAGCTAAGGAGTGGCACCGAGGACAGGACCGCGCCCGACGCCATAGCCACGAGGAACCAGTTACAGGCAGATGTGTCATTAATCAAAGAGAATGAGGCCTTAAGAACTGAGTTGCTGCAAATGAAAATGTACATCACTGATTTGCAGAAGACGACTCCTCAAGGCACATCAAGCAAAGGAGGTTTGAAGAAGACAACTTTCTTTTCATCTATGTCTAAAACTTTGGGGAAGTTGAATCCTTTCAAGCACGGATCCAAGGATACTTCTAATATTGAAGATGCAGTCGATATTACCAAGCCTAGAAAGAGGAGATTTTCCATGTCTTAGAAAATTTTCTCTCTCTTAGGTGGGGTGATTTTTCTTTTTCTGTTATTGTATTGAATTTGTGCAAAGGTTTGATTGTTTTGCTCAACTTCTGAATGAAAGAACTAATCTGTTTGTGTGTGAAAAATTTGAGAGAGCATTCTCCTTTGTTTGTTTGTGTGTGCTTATTTTGTCCTGTTTACAATTTACAGGTAGAGAGGGAAATACAACTCTTAGGAGTTGTCAAATTTTTCTTCTTTTAAGTAAGAGCTCTTAGTTTTCATATTTTTTACATTCAATAAGATAGATACATCTAATATGTTCTTAAACTAGTTTAAAGGTGTATTTGGAATGACTTATGAAATTCAAAAAATATTTTTTTTAATAAATGTTTATCAAAAGTGCTTATAAGAAAAATACTTTTATTAAATAAGTATTGTTTGAATATTTAAAATTTAAAGTACTTAAATTAATGTATTTTATAAAAAAACACGTTTGGATGTGAAAATACTTATTTGTGTCACAATTGTTAATGACATTGAATGTCCATATACAAACATACACTACACATATAATGAAACAAAAAAAAAAAACATACACAAAAAAATTATATTAATAAATATATCATACGAAAAACTACATAGTCCAACTATTCAAATGACATATGTCTATTCAAGAGTCGAACATATACATCAATATAATAAAAATTCAAAAATCATCAAAAACAAAAGCTCAAGTATTACCATCACGGTAAAACTTAGTGTTCAAATATGCTCAAAAGTAACTAAATAGTCACAGTAAAGAGTAATGTTCAAAATAAGCAAAATATTTAAAATTTCATCTAAAAAAAAGCACCTAAACAAGTCTATAATAGAAAATAAACATCTAAATTTGAAACGACATCCTACTGACTAGTGTTCCCTCCATCCCTCATATATTCCAACTATGCAGCTCGAATACCAGGTTCAGGTGAATTCATCCATGTTTCCCTATTGATAACATCCCAAAAAAGAACAAGAGCATGTCAGTAAAACAGGCTATCATATGGAACAAGGTCACGCATTTTGTGAAGTTCTTGCATGCATTCCTTGACTGTGGACAATGTTGGTGTAACAGTGTTGTGTATTATCTTGCATAACTCTGATAGTTGTTTATCTCATTGTTCTCTCCCACTCACTTTTCGACAACGCTTTGAAGATGTGGACCCATAATGTCCGTGATGTATCTGACTATTTGTGTCACTACTTTACTCTCTTGTTGGTCCAACTCTGTCGGGAATCTAACTTTCACAAGGTGTGTCTAATTCTAAGTCATGATAGTCACCACAACTGGCTGTAGGAGCAAATGCTCCCCAGTTGCGGTTGTACCACCAAAAATATATCTAGCATATAAGCAAATGGGAGTGATTTCTTATGAAAATTCCTTGCAATCAATATTTGCCTGTGATAAAGGGAAAAATCATGACCATAAATTTAAACAATTAACTCCTACAATATTTAAATTGATCTAATTAGATGTTACCTCAACAAATATATTTCATGTCTGGTCATCACACAAGACACCTCTTGTTATAGGGTCAATAGTCACTCCAGTATGATTAGTCAATTTGTGCCATGACTTCCATGCATCCTTAGTAATTGCAAAGTGATTTTTCAATTGTTTTTGGTCATACATGACTTTTTCCTTTGTCGCAAATCCATCTATAATATTCTTTCAACCTTGCTTGTTAAAACTACTAGTATACCGATTCCCTTTATCCACCTCTTTAACACATAACTCTAAAAAAGTCTTACGTCTCTCCATAGTCCAATTTACTTTGTCTTTGTCATTCCTAGAACTACTAGAAGCCATCTACAAATTCTACAAACAAATTTGTTACATTTACAAATTCTACAAACAAAGAACATCCATGATTAGGTGGGATTCAAAGATGTCTAGTTTCTCACTGCCATGAAGATGGCTCTTCTGATAAAGTTGAGTTTATACTCGAAACATACTTTTTTTTTTCACATTTTTCAAAAGACCATCTAGACTCTAATTTTGATAAAAATAAAATGTGAGAAATAGCAATGCATTGTGGAAGTAAAATAATATAGTGATTTTCATAGTAATCATGGATCAAAAAAATAAAAAATAAAAAATAGTTTCCCCAAATATATCAAAAATTGATACCGTAGACAGCTCCTTGATCTACAAAAATTTTATCATCATCAAAAAAAAAAAATATAGACCAAAATACATCAACCCACAACAAAGAAGATATTGTACCTCGTTGCAGTCTGAAATAGCTCATTAGGCAGATAGAAGAGAACAAAAATACATTAGCTCCTTGGCTTCGGTGTCGTTGGTAGTTGGCGAGAGAGAAAGTAGTGTTGTTGGTCGGCGAGATGAGAAAATATATTGTTGGCATCGACGTCGGTGTCGACGTGGGCATCAAGAGAGAAAGCAGCTACATGAAGGGTTTTGGCAAAGAGGTATCGGGGACTTGTAGAGAGATATCGGGGGGGTGAGGAGAAAATGAGAAGTAAAAATGAAAAGTGACTTTTAAAAGTAAAAGTTAATTATTTTTACTTTTTCTTATTAACTTATTTAAGTGCTCAAATTACTTTTACTTATCAAAAAGTGTTTTTAATAAGTTAAGCCAAATACTACTTTTAAAAAAAAAGTATTTTTCATAAGTTAAAAGTTCAAAAAACACTTTTTTTTTAAGTAATGCCAGACACACTCTAAATTACGGTGGCCGATCTCAGAACTTGAGAGAATTATCAATAGAAGTCTTGACACCTAACAACAAAATAAAAATAGAGAGAAATAGTGATTATGAGAAGGAAAATGTTTCATAGTTCAAATAAAATTTAAAAAGTATAATTTAAATATATATTATTTCTTGGATGAGTGACTTTTACTAAAAAAATAATGATAATCAACTGTTACTTTTAAAATTTTATTTAAATCTATATAATAAAGTAGAATGAAGTTTGAATCCAAGAGACAAAGAGTGGTCCGGATCAATTTTAAATCATACAACATAAATACATTCAATGAACAACATAATCGCAACATAAAAAACGATTCAGATCATCTCAAACATTTTGATTTAACGATCTACAGTGAGTACCGAATTTTATTTTTTCGCCCAACAATATTTGCTAACTCACGTCTCTCTCTCCCAATTTCTCAAGCCTCATCTCTCCCCCAATTTCATCTCATTACAACTCTAGACTCTTGTTGCTTATGAATCTCTCTCTCTTCCTCCCTCCCTCCCTCAGTCTCCTCTCTGAGTCACGTATCTTCTTTTCTTTCTCTCTCTCTCCCTCCAGTTGCAACAATGGTTGCTCTACAACAAACTTCAATCACATTTCAATCCCGATCACCACGATCAACACAAATTATAGTCTAAAAGAACAACAAACCTCTCATTTTCTGGAGGTTTCAAGTTAATCAAACTCCCAAAAATCACCGTCAAGGTCAACCGGAAGAACCCACTATCACGGTGCTAGAATGGCAGACTCTGCCGCAGGAAGCTACGACAACGCCCTTATTGAGGTGGCAAATTCCAATGGAACCCTAGAAGCCACCTCGGCTGACATCGAAAAGGTGGAGAAATTCGTCTCGAACCCTAAAGTCTTCTACTTCTTCTTAAATCCCACTGTCGACATCGCCAAAAAACGTGAGGTCCTCGACGAATTGAGACATGCTATTTGCTATTAGCATTAGTTATCAATTTCAAGCTTCTTGGATTTTCTTTTTTTTCTCCAATTTGATGTTAGCAATTATACAATTTTGTCCTGACAATTTCTATATTATATTGTATTAAATCTTCACGCCAATAATGTCTTTTTTTTTTCGGTAAGTAATTGAATTTCACTTTTGAAAATCTGATTGGATTGTCATTGCCCTATGTGTTCAATTATAATTCCCCACTCCCTGGAGTTGATCTCCTTTGGATGCTAGGGGATGGGTGTGATGGTCCCCAAATAGCTTGCTATTGAGCACTAATTCCATCAGGTTAGTTATTAATTATTTTCTATTGAGCACAATTCACAGTTCAAATTGAGACATGTTATTTGCTATTAGCATTAGTTATCAATTTCAATTTTCATATTATGTGTTATTACTATTTGTTGTCATGTGTTACAGTTTTTTTCTTTTGCTTGGACTTGGTGTTTTAAGTTTGTTCAATTTTATGTTGTTTGATGTTGAGGGTGAGTTAAGATGGTTGGGTTTTGTATATGATCACAATATGTTTGTTGTTTTGCATCAAAGAAAAAAAGTTTCCCTAAATGACTATCTCTATAATTTTTTTTTCTGGAATGAGTTGAATTCTTGAATGTTTGAATAGGGTGGAACTTAGTAGCCGATTTGGACATAGTTCCATATTGGTTAGATACGTTATGTGAGTTTCTTTGTCCTTATAGCCAACTATTGGTTTCTTATCAATTATTCATTTATCTTAAATGTCTAATAAATTTATGTTAGCTTTCTTACATGTGTTTGTGGATTTTGCAGGTTCATGGTGTTGACCGTGCCACTCCATGTCTCCAATTCTAGCTGTGTTTGCTCACACTATGCCTGATGTAATTTTCCTCAAGATGGATGTGGATGTGGCTGAAATGAAGGTAAGTAAAATGTAGCTCTTTTTTAATGTCAACTTAAAGCCAATATGATACATATAGTATATTGGTTGAGAGTTTGCAATAGAGTGTTAATTATACTTAGTAGCCTTAATATTCTTGAATGTTTATTATAATGTTGAATGGAAACTTAGTATAATGTTGAAAATAAATTTATTATAATGTAGAAAATAAATTTATTATAAAACTTAGTATAGTGTTTATTAATGTTGAAAATAAATTTGTCTCTTTTTGAATGGAACTTAGTATTCTTGAATGTTTGAATAGAGTGGAACAAAAATTAATATGATCACCATATTTGAATAGGGTGAATCTAAGAGACAAATTTGAACTTGGAGTCCTTTTTACACTTTGCCCTTCATATGATTTTCTTTTGCTCTCTCTACATTCTTGCTTCATTTATACTAATTTTTAGTATAATTTTTTGTTGATGCATTGAGCACTGTTTTGCTTTAAAATTATAGTTTAATTTGTCTCTTTGTTTGGTAAATCATAATGTGGTATTATTTTGATGATGTTGGAATTTTTAGGATATGTTAACTTTTGTTCGTAGGTTTCGACACTTGGGCAATTGTTGGTTGTAAGGGCAATTGCTTTCCAAATTTTGTCCATTGAATTATATTATTGCAATAATTTTTTTTTAAAATTTTGTTGATATATATATATATATATACTAGGGATAACTCGTGCCTGAAGGTACGGTGCAACTAAAAAAAATCGAATATTGAATTTGAACGCAAAAATAATCAAGCAATGAACTGACGGATGACTAATAATTAGTGCAAATCTACTTATTAATAAGAAACACATGAATTTAAAGAAAACATGGCCTAATTCATTTTTCGAATTCAATATCACACCCCAATTCTACCCTAACAAAATCATTTGTCAACTACCACAACAACATAATAAAATCAAAATTCAACCCACAATTACAAATGCACACATTTAATTGACATCCATATCTGTTCTCATATAAAAATTGTTACAACAAAAGTCCAAAATCTAAGTAAAACTGAAACAAATCAAGATGATTTGTTCAATTTATCCTGTGTTTGTGGCAAATGCACAAAATTTAAGGTTTGACTCAAAAGTACCTGAAAAGTCTAAGATTTATTCAACATATAAGTCCTTTACAAAGATTGTGAAATTAAATGATAAATAATTAATGATTAATTTTATTAAATCAAACGATCAAATTTTGAGTCAAAGAAAACCACAAACAATCAAATAATATAATTTTTTTCACACATGAATCAGTCCAAGAGAATACAATGCAAGTTGGTATTTCATGCTTAAAACTATTGAATTTTTTTAATCAAACAGCCCTTGAGCTAAACTTGCACGTAAAACATGAAGTACGGATTTCACTTGGCAAAAAATTGAGTCCAAGTGTAACACAATATTTTGAGAGGCTTTCACTTGCTTTTAATGGCAAAAATTGATTTATTTGCTCAAACATGCAGGATAAAAGCTCCTACTTTACATGTTATAGTGTACAAAGAAGAGACAACAAATAGGTATATTAGTACCCTATAGATCATCATTTAAGCATGAAATCAAATGGTCAACATAAAAAATCAAACACAACAAAATAAAGAAGCACAACCTGAGTAGCAAGGTAGCTTCATAGAACCCGTTCTAGATCTATGACAACACCAACTAACATAAGTTCTAAATTCTAAATTTCACACAAACCAAGGCAAAGGAATGACAATAAGACAACAAATTGAATAAGCACAACTCATGAGCAAAGAGGTAGGTAACCTCAATGGTACCAATGGAACAACAATCAATCAATTCGAGTGTGTGCCTGGTAGAACACTCAATCTACTTCCGAATAACTTTGAACAGATATGTACCAAAGCACTGAAGATCTATTATTCAGTTTCAACCACACGAAGAAATGAAAAAGACATACAGAGAAGCACAACTCAGTTTGATGAACATACAAATGCGAAATTCGTCATAGAAATAAAATAAAAAAACTCAAAAATTACAAACCAAGAATGTAATTTTTTTTCAGAGAAGCACAACTCAGTTTGATAAACATACAAATGCAAAATTCGTCATGGAAATAAAACAAAAAACCCAAAAACTACAAACCAAGAATGTAAATTTCCTCCAAAAAATAAGAAAAATCAAAGAAAAAATTGTTACCTTGGGGGATGACAATCGACTTCCCGTGATCGGTGGCATCATCAATAAACAAAACAAAAAATTCGTCATGGAAATTTTAAAAAAAAAACTCAAAAACTACAAACCAAGAATGTAAATTTTTTCCAAAAAAATAAGGAAAAAAAAATTGTTACCTTTGGGGATGACGATCGATCTCTGATCTTCCCATGACTGGTAACAAAATAAATCTTATCAAAACTCTATACACCCATAAAGAAGTGAAATAAAACTCATTTGGTTTATGCGCATGAAAAATGAGGCCATGAAAAACTCAGTTGGTTTTCATTTTTCTTATGCGAATGAAAAATGAGGTCAAATCCTCATTGTGGATTTTTTTTTTTTGGGGGGGGTGGGGGTTTGGATCCACACCAAACCATATTCTTTTATTTCCAAATATTTAGTGCTCAGATCAGATGAAGCTTAAAATATCACATATCATCAAAGACTTCCTAAGGATTGTTATAGTGTCGCTAGATTAAATAAAAAATTTAGTATAATCAACCAAAGTGGAGTTCTGGTTCTAATCTTTTCTTCTAAGTAGGGATGACCATCTCAAATCCTTAATTGCAATGTGGGAGCATCTTCTTATCATCCTGCATATTGGTTCCAAAGAAGACCTAACAGCCGCAAAACATAACATTGAGTGTATTAGAATATGAAACATACAATCAAATTAAAAAACATAACACAAAATCCTAGCAAAATCCATAAAAAAATAACATTAAAATAAAAAAGGTTTGCCAAGAAGGTAAAAAACAACTAATTAAACTTATTAAAGCATAAAAAAGAAAGGAACTTTAAAAAGGAAAGGAACTGGTTGTGCCAATTTTAGTTTTCAAGAAGAAACTCACCTCAAAACCCAAACCTTTATATAATCATCTCAAAAACACATGTCTTTAACCTATCTATGTATACCACATGAAGCAAGCAACTGGAAAAGATTGAAAAGAGAGTTGACCTCTATGCTCTTGTAGACCCCACGCCTTTCTATAGTAACCCAAGCCTACCCATGTCTCATTAACCTCCAACAATGCAAAATAAATTGTTTGAATCAATCCATAAATAGCCAAGCCTCATGAATATGCAAAAAAATTGTGAATGCATAAGCCTCATGAATATACAAAGAATCTGCTTAATAAGAGCACAAATATAACTATAAACACCACCACCACAGAACAGCTGGTAACGACAAACCTAAAAGCAGAAAAATCAATACCACATATAAACTACATGTATCAACCAAAAAAAATACACAGAAAAAAAAAACTATGAACAACAGCTACTCCGTGTGTGCTTTCCAAGAGAATAGCATCCTTTCCAAGAGAATGGAATTCACATTATGCTGTGTGTGTGTGTGAGCTTGAGTTGCAGCCAAAGCAGTGTACAACCATGAGTACAACTCTCCATAAGATATGTCTTATGCAGCAGCCTTTGTTACTTCGGCAATGAAAATTTTCTATGAGAAATAAGATGTAAAATTACTCAAATACAAACCAAGAGCAAAATGCATGTAAAAACTGTGTGATAAAAACTTATTGTTACAGATTAGCTACAAAGAATAAAAGCTTCTAATATAGATCAGCATCCATGGTTTCAAACAGCTTCAAGCAAGACATATTAAAAAAATCTCAATAAATAAGAAATAAGCTTAGTGTTATAGATTAGCTACATAGTTCACTAATGATATTTTTTCCTTGTTTGAAAGTACTTTAGAGAATAAAAGCTTCTGATATAGATCAGCACCCGTGGGTTTCAAACAGCTTCAAGCAAGACATATTAAAAAAATCTTAAAGCAATGGAAGAAAGAATGCTCATACGGCGAATTACTACTGGTCAGTAAGAGAAGATGGTTTCTATT